CTGATTACACTGTTAGGTCTCATCTTGGGATTACCAGACCAGAACTGCCAAACCACTCACTAAACCCACCTATCACAGGCAGCATTACCTATACCCCCAACTATCATAAAAACTCTCTTTTCTGTGTAATCCTAAACCATTTTGTATATTCCTGGGAGGTCTGAGATGCTATCTTCGAAAGTCTCATTATATGAGTATGAGAAATGGGTAAAATGAGAACAGAAACGCCCTTGGGAAACTCAATGAAACCAAAAGTTGTCTCTTTAGAAATATGAACAAACTTGGCAAGGCCTCAGCAAGACTGACCAAAAAGAAAAGAATTTAAGCCATAAATTAAGAATGAAAGAGGGAGTATCACTACGATATGGGAAAAAATACATATACTAAATAATCGTATGCTGAAATACTGGAAAACACTAATAATGAAATGAATAAATTCCTAGAAAGATTCAAAATGCTGGCAGTTGACTAACTCAAGAATAAACAAATTTTGAATAGATCTATAACAAGTAAACTAATGAATTAGTAATTTCAAAACTTCCCACAATGAAGTTCAGGCCCAACTGGTTTCATTGGTGAATTCTATCAAACATTTAGAGAACTAAAACCAATTCTTTCCAAACTTTTCAAAACAGAGGAAGGGACCCCCTTACTGCAAAAGAACAGAATTAGAAAACTCACACTGCTGGACTTCAAATTTTACTATCAATGTTAAATAATCAAGAGAGTGTGATACTGGCATAAGGTTAGACATAGAGAGCACAAAATTTAATTGAGAATCTTAAATCCATAGGTATATGACCCAAAAAGTGTGTGAAAAAAATCAGTGGAGAAACACAGTATTAACTGGTGAAGGAATATAATAAGATATAGTATGCCCATAGAACTGAATATTATTCAGCCCATGAAAGGGCTGAATTGTTTCTACATGTTGCAGTGTGATTTCTTTCTGTTTACTGAGTTCTCTAGCGCCAGACACATTTGAATTTGACCTTGCAGATGGAGGGAGGCTTTACTTTGTTTGGTTTGGTTTTGATTTTCGAAGACAAGGAAAGTGGGGGCGGGGTGAAAGCAAAGGACCTGGGAGAAGGAGAGGTGGTACTTGAAAATGCATGCTTAGAAAAAAAGAAAAAGAACATGCGTGCTAAGTAGAAGAAGCAAGTCAAAATGACCACACACTGTACTATTCAATTTCTATGAGATGTCAAGAAGAGATCAATCCACAGACACAAAATTGTATCTGTTAGTTTGGGTTGTTTGGGGAAACAAAGCCAGTGGCACTCATATATGTATCAGACAGAGCTTTGTATCAAGGAGCAGTTTTATATCAAGAAGGCATCCCAGCCCAGTGCAACGCAAATCCATAGGTCCAGTGCTAGCTGGACCACTCTTCAGACTCACACAGCTTCAGGCAGATGAAGCGAAAAGGTGAAAGGGAAGCAGGGAGATCACAGGCTGGTGGGTGCAGAGCCATGTAGATCCACGGTCAGTGGCAACATGGCGGGTTGCCCACAGTTCCCATGTTGGTTCCCAGGGTTAGTGGCCCACATGAGGCCATCCCTAGAGGCAGACAGAATCCCAGAGAGGAAAGGCCAGAAATAAATATATAAAAATAAACCTATATCCCTATCATTATATAAAAATATACTTACATATGGACATTTATATCTCTATAAATGTCTTTTGCTTCCTAGTTCTTGCCTTTATTTCCTTTTACTTTCTTCTTGTCCCACTATCATATTTGACTTTCATTCTGCTTTTAGTTATTCCTCTCGGCTACATTGCACTTGATCAACTCCTCCTGCCTCTCCCCAGGCATTCTATACCCTCCTCGCCACTGATTTTAGGTCACTTGTTGTTCCCTTGTCCCTCGTTGGCTCCCCCCTTCCTTTCCCCCACTTCCCCCTCTTCCATGCTCCCCCCACCCCAGGAACTATTGATCCCATTGTTTTCTCCTCAGGATTGTTTATCCTGCCTATCTTGTGTAGATAGACATGGGGATAGGGGGAGCCCATGAATAGTTCCAGGTCTGTCTGTTGATCTTTCTGAGTGTTTTCTGCTCAGGTCTGATGAGGTGCCAAGCCCTGCCTATTGGGGAGATTACTTGGGGACCTCATTTGCTTTGCTTCCCTTACAGCTCTGTTGCATTTTCTTGTGTGTGTGGGCCAGGGGGGGAGAGAGGGGGGAGTTGGAGGGGGGTTGTCAGACCAGGCACAATTCCTGTGCTGTGAATCCAGTGTTGTTCCCTGTAGCCCTATGGGTCAGTGAGGGGATACCATGTCTTGTGATGGGGCCGGCCTTATAATCCTCTTTGTGCATTGGCTGCTCTGAGGAAGAATATCATCCTCAGGGCTTGGTGGACCAGGATGTGGTTCTCTCTCTCTCTCTTTCTCGCCTTCCCTCTTAGTTTGCTCCTGTATGTTCTGAGCAGACCTGCCCCTCTCCCCAGGCTGTATATTCAGTGCTGTTCACTGTAGTGCATTCTTCTGGGGAGGGGGTCCACAGACCTCTCTATTGGTTCCCTGTTTCATGCCAGTATGTTGCTTTCAAATCTTGGTGCACCAGGTTGAGGTCTGGTCCCTCTGTCCCTTTCCTGTGGAGATATAAACAGTACCCTCTCCATGGGTGGGTTAGTGCCCTGTTCCCGCCCACACATACACATCCTCTTTTTCTTTTTCCCTTTCCCCTTCCTTTTTAATTGGCTGCTATATGTATTCCTGGGTTGGGTCTGACCCCTGTCAGGGTGCCTGGATCTTGCCCCAGCAATTTATGTATTTATTAGCTTTCCCCCTATGACCTTAGTGCTTTTTAAGCTTACCTTAGTGGACTTGTGTTGTACTGAAGTTGTACAAGTAAAACTCTTAAGGAAACAAAATCATATTCTTCTCTAAACATGTTTATCAGGTAATTTGCTTTTCTTCTTCTTTTTAATTAATCATATTATTTGGGGGCTCTTGCAAAGCTTATGACAATCCATCATTCAATTGTATAAAGCACATTTGTACATGTGTTTCCATCAACATTTCCAAAACATTTGCTTTCTACTTGAGCCCTGGTGTATCAGCTCCTCGTTTTCCCCCTCCATCCTCCACCCTCCCACCCTCGTGAATCCTTGATCAATTATATATTATTGTGGTTATTTCTTGTCTTACACTGTCCATTGTCTCCCTTCTACCAGGTAATTTTCTCAGAGTACAATAGAGAGTTACAGAAATAACAACTGCAATCTTGATGCAGAAATCACTTTTGATTCAAAAATGAGTTTCTTACCCCAGTGATGGTTAAATTTATGTATTAACTTAAACATGGCTAGGGCCATGTTTTTCAGTGGTTTAACACTGATATCATTATATTCTATTTTGTGATATGATGTAATCCCTTCCGGAATGTGATCAGCTATTCAGTTATGAGTGGAGTTTCTTTGGGGCTCAAAGCCCTCTGCAATTGAGTTGATCCTGGCTGCTGTCATTCCCATATAGGTTCTCTGAGGCTGTAGGCCATTTGGGGACATGTAGCCTCATCTCTCTCCCATGGAGTGGCTGATGGATTTGAACCACTGATGGTTACCAACCCAATGCATACCCAACAGGGTCACCAGCACGACCAGGGATCCTGTACTCAATGTGTACTGACGTTCTGGGAAAGCTCACTGGCTTTTGCTCACTTTGGATCCTACATCCAGCTTGTCATCGTCTGACCTCCAGTTCTTGAGACTTAAGCCAGCTGAGCTTAAGCAACGAAGTGCATTCAGCTGCTCTCTGTATAGTCCACTAAGCTACTTTGCTCTCACTGTTTAACAAAAACAAAAAATAATGACATAACAAAATCCTTGCATACCTTGTTCGATTGGAGAATTTTAATGTTTTTCATTTATCATTGTAAAACCAAGGACAATTTTTTGACTTTTTTGTATGTAGCTGTTACATGTCTTTAAGTAGGAGTAAATTACTCTCCAAGAAATGAAGCCTAGATTGTTTTCCCTTCAAGTCAAGCATCTTGTTGTTTAAATAAACTTCTTGTTTTTAAAAAAAGAAACAATGTGAACTTAGTACATACATTTTGTAATGCTTGTTTTGGGTGATTAGAGAATTTTTTTCCCTGTTTGATTAAAAAATCTTTGGGGCTACTGAGTAAACGGAGTATTTCTATTGTGCCTTATGTTTAGAGCACTCAGCGCTCTCCCCCGACCAACACTGGAAGGACATGTACCTCATCCAGGGACAAAACTAAGTCCCAGCAGAGAACCCCTCACAGTCATACGATGTGCTAGGACTGTAGAGAGGTTTATTGGCTTCTACCGGGTACTCTCCCTCCTGAGATGACTAGCACATTGAAATGTTGCCAGCTCTCCACTGGGAGGCAGAAAAACCTCAAGAAAAACTTAAGAAATGCTGCCCTGCTAGACAGCAGGGGATGAAGGGCAGGACCTAGGTTTGCAGGCCATGCCCTAGGCTTGAGTGGCCACCTTGCTGCAGCTTGCTAGTTTTAGGACCTTTGCCAAATCTGACTTCTTACAGCTGCAGTTTCACTTGAGGAGTAGATGTGGCACCTGAGGCCACCTGCGCAGGGTTACGATGGCTTGCTGAGATGGAAGGAAATGTCTGGCTTGTTTGGGGCGTTTAGGAAAGTCAGCAAGTGTTACGGTTTGTTGGAAGTACTAAATTAACATACTGGGTTTTTTTGTTTGTTTTAAATCATTTTATTAGGGGATCATACAACTCCTATCATAATCCATACAGACATCAATTGTGTAAAGTACATTTGTTCATTCATTGTCCTCATCATTCTCAAAACATTTGCTCTCCATAAATTAACACGCTGTATCAGAATTCTGAAGGCAAAGGAACTGACACCCATCTGACCTGCTTGTGTCGGGCAGAAGCTCTTTGAAAAGATGTAAAAATCAAGTCTCTGTGATGGATAAATTCTGCCTCCCAGGGTATTCCAGCCCACTTCCTGCATTCTCTGGCATTCACGGACATTCTCTTGTGTTTGTCCAGGTTCACCAGTGGCTAACCCGGGCTGGACACTAAAATCTACAGAGATAATAGAAGCAATATGTGTGAAAGAAAACTTCTTGCTAAATAATAGTTGGTCTGTTTGAAAGGAACAGGTTCGTTTGCCCTTTCCAAGAATATGCAGGGCTCTTGTTCTGAATTGCATTCTTTCTTATTTTGGTTTGACCTCAGAAGGGACTTCACCTCTCAATTTCCTAAGCAGAAGGGAAAAGAGGAAGACACAGGGTCGTCAGTGAAACAGTTTTGTGCCCTGGGTACATAAGGAGTGTCTGTATAGACTTGTGTGAGTGTGTGCACACTCATGCTACTTGCGTGCATGGGCACTGCATGATCAGGTTGTGGATGTGATGTGTGTAAGTTGCAAGCATGTCATACTGAATACTTGCAATGTGTCTGGTCGTGTGCTAGGCCCTAGGAATAAAGCCAGTGCTTACGACACAGTCCCTGCTTCTGAAAGCTGACAGTCTAGTAGGGAAGGTTAAGCTCTGGGCATTTAAGTCTATTGACATGCTCACTGTGCCAAACTATTGAGCCAAGGTCTGAGGGCATCAACAAAGGCATGCATCATACACAACCCGTAGATAGAACAATGCTTTGCTCACAGAGAGAAGGTCAGCTTTATGAGAGATCATTAGTCCTCCAAAGGAGCCCGGGGGTGTAATGGGCATGTGTTAGGCTGCAAACTGCAAGGTAAAACCCACCCGCCACTCCTTGGGAGAAAGACGAGGCTTTCAGAGTTACAGCCTCTGAACCCCCAGGGGCAGTTCTACTCTGTCTTAAAGGGTCGCTGTGAGTCTGAATGGACTCCATAGTAGTGAGTTTGGGGGCTCCAAAACCTCTCCTGCTGCAGGTGAGGAACCTTATCCCTCCACAGCAGGGGCAGATAGGGGCATAAGGTTAGCCAAGGGCCCTACGGTGCCCAACCAGGAGCAGCAGAGTTATCACATACCGGGAACAGGGAGACAGGGTCCCTACTAAGGAGAAACTGGGAAAGAGGCTCCGTTTCCAGCCTCACGTATCGGGGCTCCAGGCTTCTAGTCCAGGTGGGGGAATCTGTCTTCCCACTTTCCCAACTGTGAGCTTGCCAGTCCCTAACCGACCGATCCTCCCCGCCACCCCCCAGCAAACCGCCTACGCAGCTGATCTTTTGGGTTGGCCCACGCATCTGTGTGCAAGTCTCACACCACCAGGCTCAGGCCAGCCTTGGCTCCGCCATCCATCCATCCATCCATCCATCCATCCATCCATCCATCCATCCATCCATCCGGCGCAGGGACCGCCTTCTGTTCCCACAGACCCCTTGGAGGGAGAGCGGCTCCTAGGCTGCACCCCCTCGTCTCACCACCCC